GCAGAGAGCCGTGACAGGATGGAGAGGTGAGGGAACCCGGTATGTGTTCGCTCACCTCCCGATCTACTGAGCCGACCTGTGACAGTCTCATTGTCACAGGTCGGCTTAGAACTATGAGGTGAGTGGAAATCACTCATCTCATAGTTCTCCTTTAACATCAAAAAGTTAAAGCAGTTTAATATGAAATCTGGAATCCACTCCAACCACAGTACACAGATACCTCATAGTATTGGCAGAAGCCTGTGCACTGTAAAATCTTCTCTAATAGCTTCCTATATCCCCAACTACAATCAATATTCCAAGTTTGACTGGTGACTGACTTTTTCCTGTATGCGAGAATCAGCAAGGAGGGTGTTCCAGCTTTAAAGAGGTATGTTCCAAGGCAATGCTAACAACAACAAAAAAGGGAAATGGACTGGTGCACAAAAAAAAAAAATACTTGGATGAAAAACTGAAGTAGCAAGCATGCAGACTTTACTATCACTGTGCTTTCCAAGGCTTAGCTCTCCGTAAGATATTGCAATAGATTGTAAAGGCTACGTTTACTTTCAATACCTCGTTTCATGATGCACCCATGTTCAACCAACCCGCCTCTGTACTTCATTAAACCGTTGGGTTTTTCTTCCCGCTGGCTGACAGTTTTTGAATTCAATGGAATCACACACAGCCGCATCATCCATTCACAGGTAATGTCAAAGCAGAAGAGGGACTTGCAGCTTTCAATGGAGTACAAGTGCACTGGTGTCGCCCCACTTGTAGTCCATTCATACTTCCTCCTGGCCTATAACAAAGTCCCTACCTCGGTATGGACAGGGACAGGTTAAAGAGTCTGCAGGAGCCAGAGCATTGCACCCACGATCCACTGATCACGGTGGGAATACTTCATTGTTCTATCGAAAGAATACTGGCTTGCTGACAAATCAGGAAGCCGGGTGGCGGGTCATGAGGTGCTGCCCAGCTTCCTGATTGGTCAGGAAGCCAGCTTCCTAGCCAATGAGGAAACTGGGTGGCACATCATGACCCGCCTCTTGATTGGCTAGGAAGCCGGCTTCACTTTTTTGCTAGGCAGCCTGGCTTCCTGACCGATCAGGAAACCGGGAGGCGGGTCATGAGCGGCTTCCTGATTGGTTAGGAAGCCAGGCTTCCTAGCAACAAGTAAAGCTGGCTTCCTAGCCCATCAGTAAGCCCGAAGAAGGTAGGTCATAAGCTCCCTCAGCACTCCATGCCGGTCAGAGGGAGATCTCTCTCTGACCGGAAGTTCCGGTATCGGAGGTAAGTATCAGAGCATTTGAGCAATTATTCCTCGACTAGTCTTAACAGTTTTTAGAAATTTATCATAAGACTACAACTACACATGAGATGTTTTAGTAGCTTATTCACGCATTGGTGCAAATGACATGAGTAGCAGAAAATTGGACGTTAAGCACCCACTTATGTAGCATACACCATAGGTATTCACATCTGATCCAGTTGTTCATCAATCAATTCTTTTAGCAAATCATTTGTGTAGCTCTACCGCTGTGTATACAATGTCTCTCTGCGCCTGTAGGCTCCGCGCTACCCGAGTTACATCACTTTCGGACTTAGTCAGGGGTTCACCACAGCGACATATTGTATACACAGCGGCATAGGCAAGATATGTGTCTGATTGCACAGGTGGGGAGCCTGAGAGCTGATCTGTTGCGTTTCTGCTGCAGTTTATGTTTTTTTTATATGCGAGTAGGATTTTAATAAAGAATTTTATGTTTTTAAAATGATTTTACACTATGGATTGCGTCTGTATTGTGGCCCTGGGAGACTTATGGAGGCGAAAAGTTCCAACAAGAGTGCCCAGTCTGAACACAGTAGTGGTGGTTAGAGAATTTAAGCAGAGTATCAACACATTTGGATTAGTGAACACTTGGAAATACACATTCATGTTTAAAGGATAGAACACTTTCAGGCCATTTGTTTATTTACAGAATGTTGTTTTGAGAAAAAAAAGGACATTTCTCTATTTCTTTGCATGTGATTATTTCTATGTAAAGACTTTAGCACGCCACATTTATATATCATTTTGACACTTTTTGAAGCTCTCACTGAAAAGATAGTTTTTTAGTGCTTGCAGCTACCATATACATTGGCGCAAGATATTTGTTAATATTGTAGAACTCCTCTGCTGCTTACTTGTCCAAGGTCAGAAAGGGCCCGTGCACACACATAGCAAAGACCTGCGTTGTGCCGCACTGGATGAACAGGTCAACGCAAGGGAACATAGAAAACAATAGTTTCCTCTGTCTCCTTTTCACACCACAACATGGGTGTGCTGGGCAGTACGCTGAGATAAAATGCAAACATGCTGCACTTTATTGCTGAGCACTAGATGCTACCGCATAAAGTACCTACCGTGTTTCCCCGAAAGTAAGACCTACCCCGAAAGTAAGACCTAGCGCTATCTTCAGGGATTTCTGTAATATAAGACCTACCCCGAAAATAAGACCTAGTTCGGTGGCAGGTCTTATATTACAGAAATCCCTGATAGCTCTAGATCTTACTTCCGGGGTAGCTGCACCGTATAATTACTTTTTACATGTCACGGCCGCAGCTCCCTCCCCCCGCCCGCCCACCTTTCTGGCTCCCTGGACGGCAGTAGTGCTGAGAGCGGCCGCAGCTCCCTCCCTCCCGCCAGGCACGCCCACCTGTCTGGCTCCCTTGATGGCAGTAGTGCTGAGAGCGGCCGCAGCTCCCTCCCTCCCGCCAGGGACGCCCACCTGTCTGGCTCCCTGGACGGCAGTAGTGCTGAGAGCGGCCGCAGCTCCCTCCCGCACGGCCACCCGCACGCACGAGCGGATAGCTGCAGCCAGGTACACATAAGACATCCCCCGAAAATAAGACCTAGTGTCTTTTTTCGTGGAAAAAAAATATAAGACACTGTCTTATTTTCGGGGAAACACGGTACAAGCACTCAAACTTGTAGCACTTTATTGCTGAGCACAGCACACAGGAACCTGAATGGAGTGTTCACATTGTACACTTCACATACAGCAGGCACACAGGGACAGGCTAGTGTGAATGGCCCTGACTGGATGGACAACCAGTGATTTCAGGAAGAGGTCAGCAATGACAGCTTTCACATTTCTGCT